ATTTATTTGTGTTCTGTCTACACCATATACTGCTGAACGGTGAAAATTTAGGACTAGCAAAATGTTGATAACTTTCCAAAACAGAGGAATATAAATTCTTTTAATAATAAAGTAAGGGCAAGGTGACATGGAGAACGCTAGACAGAGCAGGTCTAACTCACTGAAATAATTTACGTGAATCTACAACATCATTTGTGCGTATGCAGCAGATTTCAGCACTGATGATCAGCAGATACACAGTGATCTGAGCAAGGGAGCTCAGGGAGGGGAGCTCAGCTGGAGCCTTGCTCCTGTAAGAGCTGCCTTTCTCCTTCTGCAGCAATGCTTCAGATTTGTTTTCACCTAGGCTTGACACATAGTTGCTGCCATTTCATTTGCAGATCTGAAGAAATCATGTCAGTACAAGAAATGCAATCATTTCTTTGGGGTTTTTTATTTTGCAGATTAATTAAATACTTATGGAAATGAGAGCTAAACAGCACTGGTTTGAGCCAACTTGTTTTATTGACTCTTGACTATCTGAATCCCGCTACGGCTTCAGGTATTTTACACCTTCTCTTCTTCCAGGTGTAGCTATAGGCTGAAGATCAGCCACCACACTTCAGCTGCGCTTCATTAGATTCAGACCTAGTTCATTTATCAAAAGTTAACATTTTACTTTATCTTTGTGAACACCCATTGCAGCTGTTGCCCCATTTAAAAGAGGGCATTTACGTTTCTTAATTGCGTTCCTCTTATTAATTCTTGCAGTTCTGATGCACCAAGCAAAGGCAGCTTGGGAGGAGATCAAGGTAAGAACACCCTGGCACTGCCCAAGTAGGATTTTTTTTAATGAGTACGTCCCTCGTGGTGATTTCTGATCCCGAAATCCAGCAGAGCGTGGAGGGAAAGCATCCCACAGTCCATGTTTTGGTGGAAATGTAACGTTTATGTTTCTGTACGAGGTCATTAAGTGACTGTGGCACATTTCAGCCGGAAGGTTTTAAAGCGTGAAGTCCTGGATTGGATCCAAACTGAGTGACTGCATTCTTCCTCCCCAAATTCCTCTTGTAGATCCAGTGGGATACTGCTTTTGCCACTTTCTCTCCTAACCTGTGGGGCTGGGTTACATGCTGTCTGATACACCTATCATTTTCACTGCAGAGGGAAAATGGCCCAAAGCTGAGAGCATCACTATGGATTTCGGAAATCCAGGTTTTCTGAATCATCCCAGGTTTCCCGACACGGGGCCAGTCATTTAGCCTTTCCGTGCTTCAGGAGAAACGGAGATAACAACATGTTATTTCAAAGCGGGGCTGCAGGCATAAATACATGGAAGGCACTGAGATATTACAGTAATCAAAGTCATACAAGTGCCAAAGATTGACAGATCACATCTTCACAAAGTCAGAAAGGAAATCTGCAAAGCATCTGGATGAAGGCTAGTGCAGAAATACAGACACTGGTACAAGACTCTTGTGCCAATATTTCAGTCTGATAGGAATTAAGATTAATTATCAATCACAAACATAGAAGAGAGCTATAAAATGTAAAATGAAACTGTGTTGTTATAATTTCATTTCTTGATTTTCCTTATTTATCCTTCCAGGTCTCTTCCACTGCTAATCTATCTTGTTTAGGAAAAACAGTATCTAAGAACAGTGGAGCTTGATTACTAAGAATGGCTGTCAGTGTAGTATCTCAGCGTGCTTTCTAGACAGTTAAAAGGCTTTTAACAGTAAAATATGAAGGTTTCCTTCATAGTTGCAGTCATCTGCCTTCTAAAAGTTTGCTTCAGTTGCCAACTTTTCAGTGACTTATGGCAGTTAAAGTATCTGATTTTCGTCTCCCCACAATAGATGACAGCTATTTTTTCTTATTATTCTGTGAAGGCAATGTCATTATCTTCAGCACAAAAAAAAAAGTTAAGAGCTAGATTAAAGATACAGCTTTCAAAATAATTTTTTAAGGCACCTGGCCTTATTTAAAGCATCAAAGTTACATTCAGTTCCTTCAGGGATGTCTCTGTTGCTTTGTGCTGGCTCCGTGCCCTCTGAATAAAGCCCTGGATTTAATGCATGCCACCACCACGTTCCCTAGCTGCACCGCCGCTCAGTGTGGATCTACAGGAGAGGTATAAAACACCTAACCTTGGACAAGATGATTCACTTAGGCAAAAAAAAAACCCTGTAACAATGTAAGTCTTAACTAGAGGTTAGACTTGTGACTAATGTGACTATCTATTTATTTTTAAATTATTAGTAGAAGTGTTTATGTACTATGAAGCATTCTGTACGAGCTAGATGGGAAGCTGTAAAACATTTTACGAGATCTACACACGGCTGATGGCAGAACATTAATACAACGCTAAGGTTCATCTAAATTCAAAAACTGCCAGAAAACACCTATTTTTTTTTCCCCAGTGAGATCTTCACTTGACAAAGAGAAGTGTACTCTAAAAACCCAGGGGGGGCAAATTTGGCAAGGTCCTGAGTGTCTCCGGAGAAATATGGAGCACTGTCAGCTCCTCTCAATTTCCAGATGAAGGCACGAGCCTTTTCAAGGGCTTTATTTTCTCCGAAGAAAGCCTGAGGAAGGACAGGTCAGGAAACGAGGTGAAGCCCGATTAGAAAGCGGTGTTGTGCCTCCCTCACCTCCGACGATGTTCAAGCTGAATTATTATCCCTGTTTTGTGGACGGCTGGACTAAGAAACCAAAAAAACCTAAGTAATACACCCACACAGCAAGGCAGACATTGCACTGTGAGAAAATCTCATGCTCCTTTAAATGTTAGGCAGTCTTATTCCTGCTAAAAATGATTCTGCTTCACTTTTTCATGTAACTATTAATATTTTAAATAATCTGCACAACCTGCTTCAGTTACTACAAGTGCTTGCTAAGAATCAAAACGATTTGCAAGTTGAAATTACACAGGCTATTTGTATGTGGCCAATAACTGAATCTCCAACTGATTTTTACACATATAATAAAGGAAAAAGCTTCAGATAAAATGTGTAGCACCAGTTTAAAAAAAATCTCTGCTTTTGAAGCATGTAAAGTGGTGCTGAGACATGCTCCGTATGCAGCACGAGCCTTAGTGGTCTCATTTTTGCTTTAAACAGAGTTAGAGAAAATTCTGAAGATGAGAAAAAAACCAAATACTTCCCAAAATAAGAATAAACTGGGTCAGTCCAAGACAGGGAGACATAACCTACCTTGTTTTACTCTAAATTCAGCTCACTGCCTTATGTAGAGAAGTGAAAGGTTATTATATGGGTTTACTGGGCAAACCCAGATTTTATAAATAATTGCCTGTCAGACTGTTCAAGATAGACAAACATACAGCAGACCAACAAAAACACGATCTGTCATATTTCTGAGAGAAATGTATGTTGAGTCTTCATTCTCTGGGACTTTAAGTAGACCAGTAAAATATAAGTGCCAGTATTTTTCCTGCTTATGCATATTTTCAAATGTAAAATCTGGGAGAGATACAGCTACGGAAGGAATTTTGATTCCAGTACCCAGTGCCCGGAACGGTTTCTTCTGTCTATATCCCTGCAGATCGAAACCAAATACAATAAATGCTGGTGTCCTTTTAAAAAGTCTGGATGTTTACAGCAAGCATATAATTTTCCATGATTAAGGACGCCAAGAAAAATAAGACTGATGATAAAAAGAAAAGTTTAATCATACATTTCAAGAAGCACAGATGGAACATCAGAAAACTTCCCCCCGCTCCCGTTTCACACACTGCATCATACACATTACTTTTAGTCCTTTACACGCAGATTAATTCCAGACAACAGAAGCGTAAGCAGGTAAAAGAAAAAAGCAATTTACGAATGGCAGTTAATATTTGATGTACAAAGTTCACTTTTACAATATTTTGGTTGCAAAGAGAAAAGACATTTTTCTTCTTATTTAAAATTATATATATATATATTGAAAGTTTTTGCAAGCAGGTCCAGCAAAGCAGGGCAACAAAACCACTTACAAACAACCACAAGAGCACACCGTAGGAGTAAAAATTAAGACCTCGCATACTAAGCATAAAGTAGGAGGACGGCTGCTCTGTATAAAAGACATATTTTGCTGATCTCCTCTCAATCGCTTGAGTGCTCTGTCTTAAATGGAGGTTTAAGTTAGACTTCAAGCCGGCGCTAAAAGCGGCTGAAGCAGACCCCTGGGCCCATGGGGTGCCACAGGGTGACAAGCAGCTCGTGCTCGTGCCTGGAGGTCCTGACGATGGGCTGAAGCGTGAGCCCTTTGCTCTGACCAAGCATCATCGTGGTTAGCTCTATATTTGTACAGGTTTTATGGGAAGAAATGAATGTGTTTGTGAGGGCAGCAAAGGCTGGAGGAGCTGGGAAGGAGACGGAAGGAGATGGGAAGAAGCACAGAGGGAGGGACTGAGATTTAAAAAATAAATCTGAAAACAAACAACGTGAACTAAAATACAAAAAAGTCAAAAAAGGGCCCGTTTCCTCTTTAACCAAACCCAACAGCAACGCTGCCTTTGTCAATAACAGAGGCAACATCTGCTTCCTGCAGCAAACGCTAAGCAAGTACCTAATGTTAAGCCTTTGCCTAGAACCACTGAGACAGACACAGTTATTTAAATATTTTAGGATGTATTTTTCTGAATGGGGGCCCAATCCAGTGCCAAATCACTGCAAAGGCTTTCCTCGATTTCAGAGAGTGATGGCTTCAAGCCTCAGGAGATGTAAATATTGAGAATTTGGGGCAGACCGCTTAGCCTATCCTTGGGTCTGCAAAAAAACAAGTCTTTAACTGGTGAAGTACAGTTTACATTAACTTTTTTTCTGAATATCTTTGGATCTGAACTCGCTAGTACTCTCATCAAAAAGCCCCTTACTGGATCAAACTGGGTTACACCGAGCGCTTAAAAATTAGTTGAGTGAAATCAGTGGAAAATAGTGGAGAACAGTTTTCCTTTTTGTAGAAATCAAAGGAAAACCTACATAACCTTTATATAACCTATGTAAGCCTATTTAACCCAGTCTATCTCTGGCCTCTTTCTGCCCCATCCTGCTTGACAAAACAACATCTCTTGGAGAACACACAGACTTCCAAACACTTAAATAAAAATGACATCGCGTTTCAGAAAGCGGCTGACAGCAGCAAGTCCCCTGCAAACTTCAGCATTGTCTGATCTGCATTCTTGTCCACCTACACGCTATCCCAAACATCCTGCCATTAATTAGCTAAATGTTCCAGCTAGTAAACAAGAATAACGATTGAGGGGGCTGGAAAAAGAGTCAGAGGCAGCCAGCAGATAGTCACAACAAACCAGCCCACTCACTGGTACACGGAGACATTGCAGCTTGTCTTTTTTTTCCTTCCGTGGAGGGGAAAAGAAAATCACCTTAATATAACACTGTCTTTCCTGTTGCTGTAGCCACATCCCTATTAGCAGGCGAGAAAAGTCATCCCGTTTCTGCGGTAGGCACTCTGTCAAAGAAAGAGAAAATCTGTAATGAATTATCACATCAACTTAAACGAGGGAACAAGGCAGAGAGAAAGGCAAGGCTTTCTTCCTGTTTTGTAGACCATTCTGGCTGCAATCTAATAGTGTGCTTAATCCCAACATTTCTGGTGGGGAAGCTATAATCAACCACTTTGTCTATTAAAAAATCAGTGTGGTTAACAAGTGGTTAGCGACTCTATTTCAGGAGAGCGAGAGATATGCAAAAATGTAACATCTTATTTTGTTAATTGCCTGCAAAATAGATGAGGCCAAAAATACCCTATTATGCTGAATCTGTTTGTCCCTTATAAGCATGTGTTCTCTGCTCCCGAATTATTCAAGAATAATTTCTAACCTATCTTAATAGTCTACAAACTACTGAATAACTACAGTTTTCCAAACTTAATTTATGGTGTGAGTCTAAAGCTATGTAAACAGACATTGCTATTATCCCCACCCCCCAAAAATCAAACGAATCTTAAAGACCCTCTGGTCAGCACAAAATAATTTGCTACTCCATATATTGTAACCTGGGATCAAGTGTTTCCAACAGTAAAGAAGTATAAGAGTTAAACAGCATTTGAGAAAAGAATTTTAAAAGATCCTGTGACACTGCCTGACTAAAATACTTTTCATGCATTTTTAACATCTCTTTCTGAATCAATATAGGAAACTATGCCTTTTTACCCCAGGCACACCGGAAACCCTATATTTGAAGCAGATATTCTCATTTTAAAAATGTATTGCTGTTATTTTTTTTTTGTGATATTAATGATATGTTCAAAAAGGAAAGGAGTTTTATTTTATTTGGTTCACCTTCAGCAGTCATTCAGTTCTAAAAAAAAATTTTGTCTTCTATTTTGTTACAGTTAGTATTTTGTCAGATTTATTTTGTACCTCTGATGTTCAAGCACTTAGGAAGTGCCATATATAACTACCATTTTCAGTGGCTCTACAAATTTCCTAATTAATTTCAGTGAGATCAGTTTCTTCTCTCTTAAACCAGAATTAGAAGAGTATCATTAAGAGCATAGGATAACCTCAAACAACTTTGTATATAAATAGTAGTTCTACTGAACTGTCAGGAAATCATTTCAAAAACAGCAAGCGTGTATTCAGAGAGACATTTACAGACACTGAATAGGCAAAAGGAAATATGTACAAGATATTCATTACAGCATCCTTTACATTAACACCATACTTTAATACAGAGATGTAGCGGCATATAGCATTAAAGTTAAAGAGCAGAATATTAGCTCCAGGATATATAGCCAGTCAGCAGACATGACAGTATCACCGCAAACAAACAAAAAAAAGAAGAAATTCAAAGACTCTATGCCCAAACATGAAATGCTCAACAACAGACTAGCCAATAATTTTGAAAGGATCCAATATATTCCCACAACCACAACTAGCAAGTCCAAGGGAGTCTGGATCTGCAGCTTGCCCAAACCATTATGGTTCGCATTTTGAAGCCGATGCATAAGTAATGTTTTTAGCTCCTTGACCCCGATATTTTTACAGAGCTTTATAACCCCAGTGAAAACCTTTAGCACATAAACAAAATATTCAGGGCTATTGTGCAGTTTGCTTGAAGATAAATGAACCCGAGTATAAAGTTGGATCCACATGAAAGATAAAAGGCTGAGTTTTGCAGAAGGAATTTCGGTCGCAAAGCAAAGTTGGGCTTGGCTGGGCTCACCTGAGAAATAATGAAGTTTAACATTTTACAGCGTGGGCAATATTCTATGGTTAGTTACATCCCTCAAAAGGTCATTTTAGAAGTAAGTTTCAGAGGAGGGAGGATAACACCTTGAGCAAGCTGGACACACCCACCAGTCTATATTTAGCAATATATTATAACTAGTGTGGCTATAGTTAAGATTGAAAACTATTTCCTACTTCACTCCCTGTTTCACATAGTTTAAACTTTCTGAAACATTTGCCCTTGGGCTGAAATTTCCTCTGCTTTAATCTCTGCCTGAAGTTCAATTTTTTTGGAAAGGACCAACAAAATTCCTTAAGCCATTTTGAAGTTCAGCAATAATGAAAACAACCCATTTTTCCTTCCCAAGCCAGAGAAAGTGATTCTGATATACACAGATTTTATTACAGAATTTAGCCATAAATTGAAGCATTTTACCCAGAAACAATCTTTATCTTCAGCCTCAGCTTAAAGGTAACTGTTTTGAAAATCTGTATTTCAGAGGAAAGCGTTTGATTCATCCCATTCCATAACAAGATAACACTTTGTTCTTATTTCGATACATTACTACATAACACAGGTTAACTACCAAAATGCTTTTATGCATAAGAAAACTATTTGACAGTCACCCCATAGTTCTGAATCATACCATATACCTTTAAGATATATACAGCTGAATGTGTGATACCAGAAGACAGATCTTTACATGCCAAGGATTGTGAAGAGAAACAGCAAGATGTTTTTCATAAAACTTGCATGTTTATGTGCCCTTGCAAGAGAGAGCGGGTATGCATACGGCAGTCATTTCATGTGGTTTGATATAATGTGACGGGTTTGGATGACACTTTTGGGTGCTTCGTGCCACTTTGGCAGTATCCAATTCTTTTAAAAAAATATGATTAATTGGCTTAGAATTACAGATCGAGGATGATGCAGGCTCGTGATGTGGGATTAAAATGGGAAGCCATGCTTGTATCCGTTTTGCTGGATACATGTTGCTATAGCCTGGAGCCCTTTTTGGGAAAATGTCTACTGCATGCAAATTTTTTGTATGCTCTCTCTCCAAATTTACTGACTATCAGCCTGTTCATTGGTTTTTCCTGCTGTGGGCTGACTCTTTGCCACAGTTGAAGGTCCATCAGCCTGTTACTGTACCCGCTATGTGCACGGGTGGTCAAAGGACCACCTTTTAGACATGGGAAATCACCTAGCTTGGCACAAATTACACAGTTCACCTTTCCAGAATGGATTCCTTGCTCTGAAAATTTGATAGAACCATTTTTGGCCAATCTAGCTCTCACAGAAACTCTTCTTGCTCCTTGCTACCATATGACAAGATTTTGCATCCCTTTCTCTGACCTTGTTGAAGGTGGAAGGACACACTGCTGCTATCCACAACCAGAGGCTAAGCAGGTGGGACCAAAACGAAAGTGAAAACATGACTTTCATCTTGCACAGTCCACTCTCACCATGTGTTCCCATTTCGGGGAGAGGCATGATGATTTTGCCGCTTAGCCCTCTGCTTCCCAGTCCTGACCCTCTCCCATCTAGGCATCATGTGAAGAACCTTCTTGTGGCTTCTCAAGCATCCTCTAGCTGCCCATAGCATAGGAACGCTACCCTGAAAACATTGTGCCTTTAATTTGTCAAAGCACATTGGATTCTGATATAAAGATCTTCTTTGGGAATGCTACCATTATTTAAGAAATGAAGGCAGGTTTTTTTTCCAACCAAGGTTTTCTTCCAGTCAGAAAGGAGGTAGAACGAAGCAGAAAAGACGGGCAGTGCTCACTGCTGTCAGCCATCTAAAAGCAAGACCATGCTTTGCCCTTCGCCTGGTGAAAGCAGGTAAAAGTAATAGCTTAAAAAGGCAACCTGGAACAAAAGCCCTTGGTCAAGTAACTCCTGGAATTTAATGAAAAATCATCCATTTTGTACTCTCTTTTTTGGCTCCATATCTCTTGTAGTGGTAGCCTAAGGTAGCCTATTACGAAGGACCATAAAGAACTGGTCCATGAGGGCAGCAAAACTCCTGTCCCACAGTAGGTCACACAAGATGAAACAGTTTGCTGAAGAGTTCGTAGGTCCAATACAAGGGCAAAAAACAACGTGTTTATTAACTCAAGATGTACCGAAGCTGTGATTTACAGAAACAAGTCCCAGCCAAACCTGAAGATGTGAGTACTCCTCAATTAGATAACATATCAGATTAGAAAACTAAGACTTCTGAATAGGCACCTTAGCTAGAAATGGTTTCCAATTAACAACTTACACCAGTGCATAATTTCACAGCTGTAGCATGATGAGAAAGAGTAATTTTGGCAAGACAATGACACAGCTGTGATTTTTGAGTGGGTTGATGTTTAATTCTTATTTGGGACAAAATTTTGAAAGCCTAGGGTAAAACATCTCCAGCGGGCATTCCAGGTACTAAAGTTCATTGGGCCAAATTCTCCATTGGTTTAAGCCTACAGTTCTGCTTACATTAAAATTAAGGCACAATGTCATACCACAGGTCTGTTGTAACACTTACAGATGACAAAGGTTGAATTCTAGGTCCTGCATAAGCAAGGTACCAAACAGCATTGTTAAAACTTGAAGTCTCCCTTTGTTGTTGTCCTCGTGTATGTGTGTGGGCAAGCGGTTTAATTACAACGCTTAAAGTGGAATGGCAGACAGAGACAAGAAAATCAAAGAGCAAGTCCTGGCTGAACTTCATTAGCAAACATAAATACAAATCGGCACATCTTGTTTGTGACATGCCACGGAACTTTCCTCCTTTGGTAATTTTACTCTATTCTCTGATATTTGCATAAATGTAAATCAAACCATATGACCTGAACAAGCTTATGATAGGGGAATCATATGCAAAACTTTTTTTCATTAAATAATTCGCTTCATGTAGTCTTACAATGTTACTGTGAAAATCAGGGAGGATTAGATCTCAGACAGTGAAAGCCTTTATTTAAGAACAGTGGAGGGAGCCCTGCCCCTTAAGTAAGAGACATTCTTAGATCAGACACTGGCTGGCAGGATGGAAAAAAGGATGTAGCATTAACTTTCATTCCATTCCAAATAACCTGGAACCCATAAAACACAAAGATTCTCTAATTTTAAATGAGCTTCTTTTCTCTCTGTATCTTCTTTCCATTTCATACGGGGAATGTTAACTTTGCAGTTTCATTAGCCTGCCATAATATCAAACAAGCCATCCTGGACAGATTCATAGCCCTTTGTAAATAAAAACATCTACATTAAAACCCCTGTGATTAAAAGGTT